ACTACATTATCAGCTTCTTGGAAGGGCCGAGGTTTAAATTTTTTGTAGATGACAGGTGCTGGAACACTTCCTTTGCTGAAATACATTAACGCCATAGTCCTCTGAAAAACGACGGATTTACTGTAAAATGCCAGAGATAAAAGGTATGGTTATTGGGGATCTGATCTCTGCCTTATCGGCGTGGTTGTGTTTAGGTTAATAAAATCTGAGTCTACTAGCCGTCTGAATGTTGAGTCTACTGCACGAGTTTTGGCGTAACCATTTCTTGCTTACGGTAATTGTTTAATCTTTACATTGCTTTACAGTAATGTTTTTTCTTATTCTTCTGCGATTCACAATCGCTGCAAAATTTGAAGGCCATACAATTTATGCACTTCATTCTGTTAATGACCGGCAGACTGCGACATATTGGAAACAGGCCTTAGATATGTTGGAATACGGAGGTTTTCCTCAGAGTAGAAAGTCGCCGGTCTTTCTTAGACCATCATCCGTATGAAGTTTATTTTGTCACGTTTGGTTGTGAGGTGGATTTGACGGGAACTAAGCTGGCATTAAACGTTAAACTGACACTGCGATCTTTGTTTTTAAATAGAATAAATATGCCTGAGATTGCCGCTGCTTCTCCAGACCGAAAATCATTGTTGCGACACGTTTGGCAAATGCCTCCAGAAAGGAAGACGAACCAGCTACTAAATGCTCAACTGATCGGCCGAAGAACCTGGTGGCGACCAAGAATCACCTGAATGAAATGGCTCCCCACTCGAGTTATATGCTGCCTAAAATCAGATTTTGGCACAAGACTGAGTACGTTGAATTGTCTGACGAGTCTACCGTAACCCGAAAGAATAAACGGTCATCGAAACTGATTGACTGTCTAAAAGTATATGCATAACGACAGTACGAAGCCGGTTTAATGCCAGACGGGTATTCATATAGGATAGCCACGCAAAAGATGTATTGTTCACAACACTGACGCTGTTGGATATACATACACCTCGGATACTCAAATACAGTCGAACCTGAATGACTGAATTGTCCCTTAGACTTCTAGGAGCAAGGAGAGTGAGCAAAGTTGCCGAAAACTCGATGTAATGACTTGTATTAAGTCAGTGTTTACGGCAGTATGGGTACAAACTAACTTAAGTTGATTTTTAAACCTATAGTTATATTGTTTGTACTGCCAGTATAAATTCAGTACAATTTTTAATTGATATTGGAATTTATTACTCGCTCCAACGTTTCTGTTGATGTGCTACTTCCTTATGAGCTTAGTTGCTTAACTGCTTACTTTCATTAAATTCGTTCAGTCATTCGAGAGCACAGTACGTTTCCATATACTCCCGCAACTGAGCATAACCGTTGTACGTTCATCCCAGATTCTCAGACACCTGGAAGACATAAAAGGTAGACTGTTCAACACTTTTGGGTTTCTTTCTTTGTCGTTTTGGTCTCCTAGTTCCTGGTGCGTTAAATCCTGTGTCAGCATACACCATATGATGTGAGCCCCTTGTGCTGCTTTCGCTGTTATACGCCTGTTTGCATCATTTATTCTCTGTCGTTTTAAACCTAGCGTCTTAGTTGCCGAAAAAGAGAATATATGTCTTTAAGATCCTATTCAAGACGTAAAACTTCAACTTTACTTTTCTTTTGAACTTGAACTGTCTCTCATATGGCGCTACTTTTCTGTTTTCGCTGCGTACGGTTTCTTGTCCAAAAAAACGTCGATTTCCGAAGAAAGTGTTTTGACTTGGAATTTTCTTCAGGCATACCGCCATTGAATAGGTATGAATTTTCGAACGCAGGACATGGTTGAGGTTGTTTGTTGTTTGCAAACAGACAGGTTTTCGCCTCAGACATCTTTATTCGACACGCGCATGTCTTGAACAGAAACAGAAATGACGACCATACAGTCAGTACGTGGAACTTGTGAATAAAACATGACTAGTTTACAGCTTGAACAAAAAAATGATAACAAACGGCATATAAGCATCTTTATCGCATGCTAACAGTCAAGTGGTAAATGAATAATACTGGACTCTGGGGCCTAAGCAGATTCCTAACTTCACTCCGCCGGACGACCTGCGTCGATGATGGCCGTAGCTGCGGTGGCAGTGTTCGACGGTTGGACGTTCGCCACCAGATTTGCCAGCTCCTTTTCGTGGATAACCGACTTGAGCAGCGCCGCGTGCAGCACCTCCGGACAGCCGGCGATGCACAGGCGGTCCGGCTGCAGTCGACTGCGTATTTGCGCCGTCAGCTCGTCAGACGGATTAATGAAAGTCGCGTACGCGCGGTCGGTCAGGGACAGAGCGAAATCGACCATCGGCAGGTCGGACATCGTGTCGCCACAGATCCAAACGCTACCACGCGGTGTCGCCTGCCGTACCTCGCTCAGCAGGAACCTCACACCGTCCGCCTTGTTCCACGGATTGTTCTCGCGGCCTTTCAGGATGATCTCGACGTCCAGCTTGTCGTTGTGCACACAGAAGTGGGTGCGGTCAGGATCCAGCTCACGTAACTCGTCGTTCAGCGCGTTCAGAAACCTGGCCACCGTCTCGTTGGCGATGTCCCCGTTCACGTTCTGTACGCCGATCGTCACGCGGTCTACCTTGCGCTGAAAGCCGGAGCCGATCAGGAAAAAACGACTAAACTCCGGCGACCCGCGCATCAATGCGGTCAGCGCGTCGGTCAGTTGCTTGAGCATCGTTTCGCCGTTCTGCTGGAAATTGTCCTTGAAGACGACAAAGCGACCGTCGACTAGCCACTCGCGTCCCCACGAACCGCCAAACGTCAGGGCGTCCATGTCTGACGGCATTGCGATCAGGTCCAGAAAGCCGAAGTCCC